TGTATGAGTCCATTTTATATGAAATGTCCAAAATAGGCAAATCCATAGAGATAGAAAGTAGATCAGTGGCTGCCAGGAACTAAGGCAAGAGGAGAATGGGGAGGAATTGCTAATGGGTTTCATCTGGGGTGATGGAAATGTTCTGAAAGTAGACAGTGGTGATGGTTGCACCACCTTGTAGACATATGAAAAAACAATGACTTATATATTTAAAATGATTAATCTTATGGCATGTGAAATATAACTTAAAAATACATATATAGGGAAACAAGCATATCATATATTGCTGGTAAGAATGTAGATTGATACAACCTACTGAAGTACAATTTTGCAATATTTATCCAAATTACAAATGCCTCTACACTTAAACCCAGAAAATTCCTCTTCTAAGAATTTACCCTACAGATATATATTCAAACATGTGCAAAATGACATAGGTACAAGGTATTGACTTCAGCATTCTCTGATATATCAAAAGGCTGGAAACAACCTGCATGTTCATCATTATGTGACTAGTTAAATAAATTATGATATATCCATCTACCAAAATATTATACAGCCATAAAAACTAATGAGGATGCTCTTTATGTAACAATATGAAATTATTTCAAATGTTAAGTTTAAAAAACGAGGTACAAAACACTGTGAAGAGTATGCTATCATTCTGATCATTTTGGAATTTGTAGAAATAGGGAATCACTATGCTGTATACTAGGAACTAACGTAGTGTTATAGGTCAGTTATACTCCAACAAACAAACATACACAGAAATAGAGATCAGACTTGCGGTTAGCAGAGGTGGGGGGGGAGGATAGATTGGATGAAGGTGGTCAAAAGGTACAAACTTCCAGTTATAAGATAAATAAATACTAAGGAAGTAATGTACAACATGATAAATACAATTAACACTGCTGCATGTTATATATGAGAGTTGTTACAAGAGTGAACCCTAAGTGTTGTCATCACAGGAAAAATTTTTTTCTTTTCTTTTTTATGAGATGATGGATGTTCACTACACTTATCGTGGTAATCATTTCATGGTGCATGTTCATCAAGTCATTATGCTGTACACCTTAGACTTACACAGTGCTGTATGTCAAGTACATTTCATTGAAATAGAAAAAAAAAAAGAACCCCCCCAAAAAAGAGTATGCTACCATTCAAATCAAAGGAGAGGGAGGAACATCTACATATATATTTGCTTGTATATGCATGAAATACTTTTGGAAGGATGTATACAATTTACATAGTGTTGTCTCCAAAGATAGGTAACTGTATGCCTAAGGAACAGAATGTGTGTGTGTGTGTGTGTGTGTGCGCACACACCTGTGTATAGGGAGAGATTTTGAAACTTTTGAGTTTTTAAGCCATGTGAATGGATTTCCTATTCAAAATGTAAATAAAATATAGATTTTATAAACTATTTTTAAAATAGTGAATGAATGAGTCATAATGCTGTGGGAAGAAAACTAACTTAAGTATATTGAGACCTGAATTTTAGTTCCTGGATTACCAGTAACTACTTAGCTCATCTGCTGATCAATCTCCCTCTCCCCTCCATCTAAGCTCTATGAGTTTTTCACCAAAGTATGCAAGTTTTAAAAGGTTCAAATGTGAGGATTCGGAACAATTAAATGTCTCAATATAAAAGGTTGAATTCACGTTCCTTTTTAAACAAGTTCCTAGCCGCGCAGCAAGCAGCTCCTGCAACTTGTAAGGCAGTGTTCGGCAAGAGTAATCTCTCTTTCTACCAGTAGATGGAGACAGTGGGTACATAATGTGCTTTTGCCAAGTTAGAAACTTGCTCTAGTGGACACAGGAGCCATAGAGTCAAAAAAATTTACAGCTAGAAAGAGCCTTAGAGTTCAGCCCAACTCCCGTATTTTACAGACGTGGAAAATGATGCCCTTCGAGGTCAGAGTCTGAAGGCTGACATGGCAAAGACTGAAACCCACATCTCACAACTCTTAACTGGTCCTCTTCACTAAATACTCTTATAAGCTAAAAACCTAAAATTCAGCATTTATTGGGAATACAAAATTCAATCAGTCAAAACTTGTTTATCACTTTGCACTTTTCTAATCTAAAGTTAGATGATTAAGGAAGGTGGCACCTCTATTAAAGCATGATTGTTAGGTTCACAGATATGACTATTAAACAGTTCTTTCAAGTACCTAATTTTGAAATAGTCAACAAATTTCCTCATTTTATTGTCTAAAATTATGCACAACACATGACTCACTCTGAAATGAAACCTCTCTCCCCATTTTCACTTTACATTTAACATAAGGAATTCCTAACTTGAAATCTAATGGGTTAATTTTTTTCATCGAGATGTTTAGGAATGACCTATATGTCAAAAAATAAGAGAGATTAGTTAGTAAATCTGAAGCAGCTCTTGTGATGATGTTTTTAATAATTCTGAGTAGGCAATGTAGTGTAGTGGTTATAGAGCTACTGCCTGGTTCAAATCCTGATTCACAACTTACCAGCCCTGTGACCCTGGGCAAGTTTCTTAACCCCTTCCTCAGTTTCTTTGTTATCAGATAGGGATGATAATAGTAGTACCTACTTCATCGGGGTGCTGTAAGAGTTAAATTAACTAATACATGTAAAATGCTTAGAATGGTACCAGAATATAGTATCTGAGGCCAGTGAGGCTCCTTGGCTCTCCCAGAAATACTGACTCTTTTAAAAGAGGATGGTTGCTAACCAAAGATAATTTCTAATTGAGTCTCTTGAACTCAAACAGAACAGGGGAGAAAAGCCAAGCAAAATGTCTGGGGAGGCTAGCTTGCTACACTGATTGGCCTCTAAACACTTTTGGATAAGCAGCCTCTACCTTCACTTCTTAACCTCAGGGTACTCTAAATACTCATTTTTTTGTTTTGTTTTGTTTCTTCCCAAGATGGAATGTTGGTGACTAATCAGGGAGGATGTTCAGAGGCAAAAGCAGTCTGAACAAGTTTTTTAAGTGTGGTATTTGCATTCCTGTTCAAGACTGTTGGAAGGGAGGAAGTTGGAGAAATGAATGGCCCTCCCATTCTTCTGCAATTTGAGTTCAGTTCCCTTACTTCAGATCAAATGCAGAACCATTTGGGCAGACCCTGTCTTCCCTCCTTTCCCTTCTTTATTCAGATGCTCTTGTACTCCTACAAAGTGTCCAGTGTGACATTTGCATCAGAGCAGAGATTCCTGATTCCACGTAGCAGCCAGTTAGAATTGCGGAAAGTACTTAGGGCTGATGGTGAAGGGAACCATCCTTTACCTCCACTGCAAACCTTGACTTACTTTTCAGTCCGTAGTAAAACTCTATCATTTCTGTTTCTAAAAGTCTTCAGACCACTGTGCAAATCTTTATTGCAAGTGAACCCTCCCTTCCCTTGATCTCAGGACAACATGAGGCTAGGGTAGATCTGAAATGCTACATGAACACAGATTTGGGAGGGCAAGGTTCAGGCACATCCCTGTGCCTTTCACAGTAAGGGCCCAAAGTATGGCTGTTGAACAAACAGTGCATACAAACTACCTGTTTATTGTATATTTAACATGGTCATAATCACAAAATGTCAATCTTATTCAGATTAAGAAAAAAGAAGAGTCCAATTTTAGAGGCCTCTAGTGGATGCAGGAAAGGCACAAAACCCAGTTTTACCACTTTCCAGCTGTGCGATACTGCCAACTAAAAACTGGCACTTGTCATCTGACTCTACAAGGACTAAGTCACTGGCCACTACAGCCATTGACCTTCAACCCCCCTCCGAGAGGAGTTCAGGGTGGAGATCAGGAGCAAGGCGCTCTGTGCTCTAGGAAAAACTGGCAGGACAGGCCTTCAGATAGTTAGATATTTTCAGGAGAAGGTTTTATCAGCCCAATTCTTGCACCTCCTCATATCTAGAAAAGCACTAAAATCATTAACAGTGATATCTGCTCCTCGTGACTAGCAGCAAGCCTCCGCCAAAACGTGTACTTGACTGCACACACCCCCTTCACTAAAATCATATGTAACACTGACCTTTCCCCCCCACCTCTTTGGAGCAGTTTCTCAGAGCTATCTGAAATGCTGTCTCCCAGGCTATAGCCCTCATCTTGCTCCAAATAAAATTCCATTCACAACTCTTACATTGTGCACTTTTTTCAATTAATAATTCTTAACATGTCATTGAACCTCTACAGGTTTACTGCCTAATGTGTAAAAGGGGATTAAAAATAACAGCTACCTCACAGGCTGTTTCAAGAATTAACTTTAAAAACAGTAAAGCACTATGCAAATGTTCTTGATATTCTTCGTTATCTAATGTATGCATGCTCTCTACAAATATACTTTACTCTGTTAACTACAGAGAAGTTTTAAAAGAGATAATGAAGATGCTCAGAGGCGTTCAATACAGGTTACATCTGAAGGGAAAGTCAGCAGCCCAAGAAAAATCAACTTGGTTTTCACTCCAGGGCTGCTGAGAACTTGGAAAAATAAATCTTTGGTCGGGCAGTCCTAACCTATGACCGCTGGGTTTACAGAAACCAAATGCGCACCCACTGCGAGCTCTCCTTCGTTTTAACGCTCCTCCCCACCCAGCTTTCCTGGCTCCCCATCTCTCTCCGCTTCACTCCTGGGTGCCCCGCCTGCTCGCTCTCCATCCTCCCACTTCAAGACCGCTCGGCAAAGTCCATTCGGACCTTCAGCCTACTGACTCGCAGTGCCCCGCATCTGGCATTGCCCAGAAACCCCTTCACCCCGACCTTTTGAAAACGTTAAGACAGAAACACCACCCGGAGAGGTGGGGCACCGGGGGAAGAGCGGCGCCCTGGAGCCGGGCATGCGCAGAGGCCGCCGCGGGCTGCGGGCCTGAGCGAAGCAAGGACAGCGCTGCTAGGGCCAGAAGTCTCTTTGGGACCCGGTTCGGGGAACCGATCCCGGCTGGCCGGCACCCGCCCAGGGCTCGGGGCCCACTTCTAAGAGGCTCGCGGGCCGGCCGCGGGCCGCCGGGGGCGCTGCGTACCTGGTAGCGGCCGGTGAGCAGCTGGCTCCGCGACGGCGTGCACAGCGGCTGCGTGTAGTAGTTGTCTAGCAGCACCCCGGCGGCCGCCAGCGCGTCCAGGTGCGGTGTGTGGATTTCCGAGCCGTGGAAGCCCACGTCGTTCCAGCCCAGGTCGTCCGCCAGCACGAAGACGAGGTGGGGCGGCCGGCCAGCCCCGGCGTCTGAGCCCGGCGGCGGCGGCAGCAGCAGCAGCAGCAGCAGCGGAAGGACGGCGAGGAGGAGCGGCCTCCGCGGCCCGGGGCCTCGGGGCAGGCTCGCCGCGCTGCGCGGGCCCATCCTGCGCCGCCCACGGTGCCCGCGCCTGTGGCGCCCCCGGGCCCCGGGCACTGCTTATAGAATCAGGAACTGGGCGGCCGGGGCCTGCCCCGCCCCGGCACGGGATTGCACCCCTAGCAGGCCGCAGGCAGGAGAGGCCCGGCGCCAGAGCCTCCGCCGCCTCTGACCCGGGCCGGGGCCGGTGTGGTGGGGGAGGAGTCAGAGAAGAACTCGGGCAGCCCTTACTGCAGTGCTCCGTTGATGCTTGATAGGAGCTAAGATCTCTTATCTTTCCACCGAAGAGCTTTGCCTCGCGGCATCGTAAAAGAGGAGCAGATTTGTTCTTTGTACTCACTCTTCACAGCTTACAAAGCATATTTCACAGCCCTCACTCCTTAAATCTCGGAGCAACCCTGGCAGCTAGGAATCACAATTATTGCCTTTTTTCTTTTCTTTTTTTTTTTTCCAGAATAAACAAGCTTGTAGTTGGTGGAGCCTAACCCAAACCCATTTCCGACTCCAAATCTTGAGCTACGAGGTTTTAAAGGTCGTGAAAGAATCATTTCTAGCAGAATTATTTCTAGCAAAAGAACCCAGCCTCGTGCAGGTGCGGGGACGATGAAGAGGCAGAGGTCTGGGTGATGTTTCCGATTCATTTAAGAATAGCGTACGTCTGTGAAGCCATTTCCTCCCCACTAGCAAAAAGGGGTTAAATACACACTCCGACTGCACAGTGCCCTTTTGAAGGTGCAGTTTTACTTAGGCTGCCCTGGCTCTTGATTGGGGTGCTGTGTGGCCATTGAGTAGCTTATTAGTTTGTCCGGTTCATGAGCCCTTTAAGAGCTGGCTCCCCCAGAATCAAGTAGTGAACCAAAGAAGTATAGTATCTAATTTGCCTGAAATAACCTGTGGATGGAAGGAAAAATTCCCTTAGCCACATGCTCATTGAATTGAAGTTAGCCTTATGACCAGTATATTCCCATTGTCATCAAGACTCTGCCTACTCTGTGTCTGGAGATACACAATAACTGTTAACAGTAGTAGGGGAAGAAATTTTGCACAGCATCCTTTCAAGTTATCTGCATCTGATTCCATGGGAATCGTTTTACAACTTTATAGGCTGTAGATAACCGGTAGCGATGGAAACTAATTCTTGTTCATACAAATGCAAATGAATTCTATCCAGTGGAATGGCATCCTCACCACCTCCGGAAAAAAGTTTTGCCTCCACTTACACATTTATTTAATATTCCTGATCTGGTCCTTGGATTGTCCTTTGAACTGGTGTTAACACCTTACCCGTTTTCTCATTAATGTTAAATAAAATCTTTAACATGTATTCATTTTTATATATGTATTAGGGTCACGATTTTATCTTTTTTTGAAAATTATTCTTTAATATGTGGAATGTTTCCCTCTTACATACATAGAATTTTTTTTTTCTTTGTATGAAGTAGATGAGTTTATGTTACATCCACTTTTCACCACTGGTGGAATCAATGAAATTTAACAGGAAAAAAAATTTTAATTTAGCATTAAGGTAAAAAGAAAAATTTTGAAGCGCTGTTTGACTCTCATTAGGTTAAGGCTTGAATATTCCATTTAAAGACCCTGTAGGAGATCTTATAGGGCTGAGAATTTTCCACGGTGGCACTTGCACGCCCCCTCTCTCCATAACTGTTCCTCTCTAGGCTTCCTGATAGAAATCAAACTGCCGGAACAATGGCTGCTAATCTGCAGGAACAATTCCTCCTTTGACCAACTGCTCCAGAAACTACTAAACTTTCACTGAGCCTTCCCATGTCCTGAATTTTCAAATAAAAGCTTATGCAAATAGTGCTCTGGAAATGTGCACATCAGCTAATTAAAAAGCTAATTAATTCTATTTTTTATCTATGTATTGAACACCCATGATGTGCGTACTGGCTAGTTATTGTAAAATCTCTGAAATGGAGTTAGTCTGTTGTTTCCTAATGATTAGATTCAGATTATGGGCTTGAGCAGAAATACTGCAAAAACGATGTTGTCTTCTCAATGCTTCATATTAAGAGGCACATAAATAATTGCTTTATTATTTGATAACTTTGTTAAGGCCACCATTTTTCCCTGTAAAGTTACTATTTTCCCCTTGTAATTAATCATTATTTTATGGGGAGATACTCTGAGAATATGTATGTATTCTGTTATTCCTAAAACTTTTGCTTATTGGTTTTAGCACTTGCTAAAACTTAATGCTTCTTGCTTCAATCAATATTAGGATGATTGCCCAATGGTGATTTTCTAATTCTATCATTCTTTCTATAATTTATCAGCTGTCTTTCTACTGTAAGGAAGAACTTTGCATTCTTCCCCATTTGTTTATTTATTTGTATCACTCTGAACTCATAGATTATTATTTTAATCAGTATGCTATAATACTTTATTTCAGTGCTCAACTTTCCTCTGATTTGGCCAGTGGGAGCCCCTTCAGTCTGGCTCTTGTATCCTTTTGGCATGTCCTCTTTAATCTTTGAGTACTCCCTCACTTCTTTTTTTTTTTTTTTTTTTTTTTTTGTCCGCGGCCCCCTCCCTTTTTTTGCCTCCCCCCCTGCGGAGCACAGGCTCCGGACGCGCCGGCTCAGCGGCCATGGCTCATGGGCCCAGCCGCTCCGCGGCATGTGGAATCTTCCCAGACCGCGGCACGAACCCGTGTCCCCTGCATCGGCAGGCGGACTCTCAACCACTGCACCACCAGGGAAGCCCATCCCTCACTTTTTGATACAACAAGATATTCTAGACTCATCTTGTACTTTTCCTTCCCTAACCCTGGAATCAGCCATTTCTCCAAGGAACCCCGATTCCTTTTAGTGGAGGATGGCTTCTAGAAACCAAGATCTGTGCTATAGGTGTACTCATTGTTACTGGGCTGTCACTGCTTGTAGGACCTCCCACTAAAGATGGAAACTAGGACTTCCCTGATGGCTCAGTGGTTAAGAATCTGCCTGCCAATGCAAGGGACATGGGTTCAGGCCCTGGTCTGGGATGATCCCACATGCCGCAGAGCAACTAAGCCCGTGCACCACAACTACTGAGCCTGCGTGCCACAACTACTGAAGCCCACACACCCAGAGCCCATGCTCCGCAACAAGAGAAGCCACTGCAATGAGAAGCCCACGCACCGCAACAAAGAGTAGCCCCCGCTCACCGCAACTAGAGAAAGCTCACACACAGCAATGAAGACCCAATACAGCCAAAGATAAATAAATAAATATATATATATTAAAAAAAGATGGAAACTAGATATATGTGTACACATATACATTAAGTATTTATATATATATATACACACGCACATATTATATAGATACATATGTATAGATATAAAACCATGAGTTCATAGTGAACACCTCCAATTCTATTTTCCCCTCTTCCATATGTGTATGGGTTGTATCAATTTTCACTATCACCAGCCATTAAAAAATACTATGCTTTTTAATTTTTGCCAATCTGGTAAGAGAAATGGTATTTCAGTATAGTTTTTGTTTGTTTTTCTTTTTGTATTTCTCTTATTATGAGTAAGGTTAAACATCTTTTCATATGTTGAAGGGACATTTTTACATCATTTTTCTGAATTGTCCATGTCATTCTCAATTGGGTTTTTGGTCATTTTCCCCTCAGTTTTAAGAGTTCTTTCTATATTCGATATATCACCTCTTTGTGATTTATATCACAAATATTTTCTCCCAGTTTGTCAATTGTCAAATATTTTGTTATAGTGTTTTTTGACATGCCAAAGGTTTTTTTTGTTTGTTTTTTTGTTTTTTTTGCGGTACGCGGGCCTGTCACTGTTGTGGCCTCTCCCACTGCGGAGCACAGGCTCCGGACGCGCAGGCTCAGCGGCCATGACTCACGAGCCTAGCCGCTCCGTGGCATGTGGGATCTTCCCGGACCGGGGCATGAACCCGTGTCTCCTGCATCGGCAGGCGGACTCTCAACCACTGCGCCACTAGGGAAGCCCCAAAGTTATTTTTTATGTAGGCAAGTTTATCAATATTTTCTTGTTGTACTGCATATGGATTTGAGTTAGACTTTCCTTACACTAATGTTTAAGTCAAATTCACCCATATTTTTCTTTCTAGTACTTGTATGGTTTCAGTTTTTACATATAAATCCCTGATCTATTGGCATTTATTTTTGTGTATGGTGTGAGATAGGGATCTAATTTTATCTTTTTCCAAATGGTTGCTCAGTTATCCCACCTCCACTCATAAAGAAGTCCATCATTGCCCCAGTGATATGAGATGCCACCTTTATCATATGCTTAATTTCCATATATACTTGGGTCTATTTCTGGGCTCTTTATTCTATGCTATTCCACTGGCCTACCTGTTGACTCATGGACTCAGTACCACACCATTTCAGTTACAGAGGCTTTACACTGTTTTAATGAGTGATAGGGACAGTGACTCCTCAGAGCTTTTAATTTTTAATATTTTCCTAACTATTCCTGCATGTTTTAATATAAACTTTAATATAAACATGTCCAGTTCCATAAAAATGTTTATTGGTATTTTTATTGGAATTGCATTAAATTTATAAACTAAGGGACAACTGAAATCTTTATGATATGAAGTTCCATATCTAAAATGAAAGGGTATCTTTCATTTATTAAGGTCTACTTTTGTGTTTTTTAGAAGTGTTTTAAATTTTTCCTCATATTAGTTTTGTACTTTAAAAAAAAATCTTTATTGGAGTATAATTGCTTTACAATGGTGTGTTAGTTTCTGCTTTATAACAAAGTGAATCAGCTACACATATACATATATCCCCATATCTCCTCCCTCTTGCATCTCCCTCCCACCCTCCCTATCCCACTCCTCTAGGTGGACACAAAGCAACAAGCTGATCTCCCTGTGCTATGAGGCTTCCCAGTAGCTATCTATTTTACATTTGGTAGTTTATATATGTCCATGCCACTCTCTCACTTTGTCCCAGCTTACACTTCCCCCTTCCCGTGTCCTCAAGTCCATTCTCTACGTCTGCGTGTTTATTCCTGTCCTGCCCCTAGGTTCTTCAGAACCATTTTTTTAAAATTCCATATATATGTGTTAGCATACGGTATTTATTTTTCTCTTTCTGTCTTACTTCACTCTGTATGACAGTCTCTAGGTCCATCCACTTCACTACAAATAACTCAATTTTGTTCCTTTTTATGGCTGAGTAATGTTCCAT